AAATGGTTGTCCTGAATACATATTCATGTGAGGTTGAGCTTTGTCGGAATCCACCCTTTTCTGCTTTTCAGTACAGACAATATTAAAAAAAAATAATCAAAGGGGATTGGGTACCTTTGTGCTTTCAAACATGCCTCTAGCTACCCAATAACCTTAAAAACTAACCCCTAATCCTGCCAGCCTTTATTTCTGCAAGTCGTCCGACTGACTTCAGTCCAACTCGCTGCATAAGAATGATTCACCTGAGTAAGAGCTTGCAGGATTAGGCCTTCAGACAGTAATAAAGCCAACAGACCGATCACAGCTACAACCTGAAGGGTAAAAATGCCTTACCCATAAGCAAATATATGTTTGCAAGTCCCTGGAGGTTTCTGCAGAGCTGGGAGTGACTCGTGCCAGGGGGACTAAATGAAGCACGTTTCACAGTGACAAACATTTCCTGGAGGCATTACAAATGAGGATGAGCAGAATCAGGTGGCATTTGTGGTGACAGGACCTGCAGCTTTATGGCATGAAACGCACCCAGCCTGACCAACTGCTGCCTTGGACCTTACTTACCCAGTTGCTCCAGGGAATGGTGGCTTGTGTAGGTCTCCACACGCAGCAAGGTCCAGCCTATTTTCTCCTTCAGCAGAGATTGATCTCGCACGCTTGGAGGAAATAAGGTTAAAGGAATGTGAATTTGGTTTGCACAGGGGTTAAACATCCCGACATGCAAGCATCCTTCCCTCCCTCTCCCAGGTCGTGACTTTCTTCCACATCATGAGTTCAGCCTCTTAGTCAAGAAAAATCTTTCTTTAGTCTACATCAACAGACAAATTGAGAAAATTGCCCTCAGCCTTGCATCCCTGTTTATCCTGGTAACAAGAGGATGATCTGAAAGCAGCACTGCTTGCAGATCTGGGGAAGAGAGCTACTAACTGGCTAGGGCATTTCTCCATAATTAGCTAATGCTTGTTATGTGCACTCTGGGCTTTTCATTTAGGCTGACAGGCTATGAATTTTCTGCACTATGACTGCTTATTTACAGAACAGCATCTAATTCAAGCAATTAATCAGCTTTAACAAAGTCAGCTACGGTTCCTCAGATGCACACAGCGCCCAGTTTAATGTCTCTTTCTCTCTGAATATCTCAGAAAAGTTCAGAGGTGAAGAAACAGAATCCATATGCCTCCTTGAGGGTCTGAAGCCCAGTTTGCATGAAAAAGGTTGCATGCAAAGACATACAGAATTTAAGATTGGCTGGTTAGAGACGACATCGCCCAGTTTAAGGCCAGGTTGTTTTTTTAAAGCACTGAACAATTCAGATGAGCATCTGCACACCCTGTTCTCCCCCTGGGACCAACACACCCTCTGCACACCCTGGGCGGCTCCTCTCCTCACCAAATTCCAGTGAACGTGGGCTGCGTTACGTGGGCAGTAATTATGCTATTGCTATCAGGCCAATGTCAATATAACTGAGAATAAGTGACACAACCGTGAAGTACAAAAAGAATAATTCATAGGTAATTGTCAATTACAGGGAGTCATTTATAGGGAGCTGATTTACAAAGGGAATAATTTACGAGGAACTGAATCGCATGTAAAATCATTTATGCGGAGCTGTCAGGGAGGAGTGCATTGCCTGTATTCTGCTGTGTGATAAGAGGCGGCTCTGTTTTGAAGGGAGGATTTCTGGCGAAAAAGTTAAAAGCCGTCAGAACTCCCCAGTAAAAATAGTTGCAAAAGGTACTGTCTCAGCAATTCCTCAGCCAGACAGGACAGCGCAGACCGGGTCCCTAGAGCCCCAGTTCCAAAAGATTTGTCCTTGAAGTCCTCTGCAACTACCTTGGGCAGTGCAGGACCAATGCCAGTCTTGGGGTTTTGTGTGCTACCTTGTACACAGCGTGTGCTCGTGTGTGATGGAAAAGGTGATGAAAACCTTTTTACAGGCTTCCAAATGCTGAATACATAAATCCATTGAGGGGCTGTGGGGGCACACCGGCATAGTACACCTTCACTGCACAAATCATTTCCTCCACACACTAGAGTTTAGTGACCAGACTAGGGCTTTAAATCTCTTAATCTCTCCTGTAAGTTTTAGGAATCTTTGCAGTACTTCAGATCACGCTTGCTCTGCAGATTTTAGGGTTTGGGGAGTTTTGGGGAAGAGTGCAGGGAGGAGGTACCCCCCTCCCCACACATATTGCCTTTTACTTTTCTGCAGTTTGCTGATGTTCACAGATGTCATAGATTTTTAGGGACGGAAGGGACCTCAATAGATCGAGTCCGACCCCCTGCCCTGGGCAGGAAAGAGCGCTGGGGTCAGACAACCCCAGCCAGGTGCTTGTCCAGTCTCCTCTTAAAGACCTCCAATGTAGGTTGCTCCATGGGACCAGGTGGGAACATGGATGCAGTGATTGCTACTTTTATTATTCAGTTTTTTTCTTATTAAAAGAGCCTGCAGGAGTCCACAAACCACCGCCCCCGCATTGTGATATTACATCTGAAAGTTGTACTAAGGTTTCCTTGACACAAAAGCAAAGGATTACATAGCCCTTTTTGCACCACTTCAGTTAGTGAAAGAGCATGTCCAGATATCAGAGCAGGCACAAAATACATCTCTTATAGTTAAGGTTGTAAACCAGCTTCTATTTTAAACTTAAGGTGCCCATGAGCCTTTCCTAGCCATTAATTTTCTCTAGTGAAGTGTTTTAGGAAAGCTTGCTAAATGGAAGCAATCATGGTGGTTTTACACAATGTAACAGGTTGTGGCCATTCTGCTATAGGCAAAAACATTGAATGCAGAAGAACTAGACAGGAATCACACCAGGCAGATATGGGATAACGAGTGAACTCCTGCACTGGATCCCACAAGATGCTAAGTGCCTTCAGCCAATGCTAACCTCCCGAGCTGTGTGTGGTCAGCACAACACCCCTTTGAAAGTCCCTCAGTAGGAGGTTGATCAGGTTTGCTACAGCGGGCATTGTGCAGACTACCCACAGTACGGACAGTTTCGAGAAGCCATATATCTGTATCCCACAGCTGTAGGCATGCTCGATATCCTGTACAGGAAGCTAGGTAGCTGCACTAGAGGGCTGTGCACACAGTAGTATTCACAGTTACACGCTACAACTCTTCTCTCTTGACATGTTGATTAAAAAAAAAATAATTTTCAACAAAAAACTTCCCCACCCTGCCCTTGACCCTGCCTCTAACACTAGATTTACTTACCACGGAAGTACTAATAAAAGGTAGTTTGTGTTTCTTAAAACCTTTCTTGCCAAGATTAGTTTCAACCAGGACCACAGCGAAGACGCTTTCTTAGACCCCCCCCATCTTTCAAAGGGCTGAACACTCCAGTCTCCTCTTGCCTGCCTTGGTGGGGGTGGGTATTCATGATCCCTTAGTGATTTTTACATTGCTGATAGTTTATACATGTAGGTGCTAAGTATGACTAAGAAACTGGTGTTTGGATTATGGTTTTGTATGATTATTACAAAATTATTGAATGGGTGAAATCTTGGCTCCCGTGAAGCTAATGGCCAGATTCCCATCTACTGCAATAGGGCCAGGGTGTGCAAGGAAGTCAAACCGATCTTCTAGTTATCAGTCTGGACCAGGGTATGGCACAGCTCTCACTATATCTGCTAACCCACAAATGTTTGCTTTGCTAAGGTAGGTTGTTTGGGGCTTCTGTGGATAGTAATTGCAGAGTGGAAAGTGCCTCCACGTATAGGCTTGGATTGCCATCTGTAAAGGGAGAGAAGCAAGGGTTCTTCTGACAGTATCTTTCATTGAATCAACTGTGTATTTGGGAGAGATGGTAGACAAGTCAGACACAAAGGGCACGTCTACATGTCGCTCTGTGTCACAGTAGTGATGTGCTACGGTGATGTAGCAATCACGTGAGTCTACACTTCGTCGTAACAGCGCACTCCCCCATTTTAACACACTGCTGCAGTGAAGTCGTGGCTAAAACAACCTGTGTGCTGCAGTACGGGCGGTTACTGCGTTGTGTTGTAGTACTTCCTTTTAAGTACTAAAGCACACCACAGTAACAACGTTGCTGTAGGGCAACGTGTAGACATGCCTAAAGTGCCCTTCCTCAAGTCTGGGAAGGGAACAGGTACAGTAGAGACACAGGAAGAGCAAAGAAAAGTTCCCTCCTCTTTTTGAAGACTTGCATTGTGTTGTGTGTCAGATGATGGGGAGCTATTTAAAAACAAGGCCCTGCAAACCCAGGAGAAAGGCCCACATTTGCTCTGGATGGGTACAGTATTTGCATAGCACAGACTGGAGGCCTAGTCCCATCTCAGCATGCGCTAGGCTCAGCATAAACCCAGGCTGGAAGCCCTCTCTTTCTTTCCCCAGAGTCCCAAGCAGGGATCTTCAAGAGGAACCTATGCTGTAATGGTAGTCAAATGCCTAATCCCCGAGTCTGGGATTTTCCAAGTAAGGAACCTGGAGGTGCTATTCCCAGGACACTAACGGCATTTCCTTTCAGCTGGATGCTTTGATTTGCACTAGGTTTACCTTTTTGTATCAGCTCCAGGGCTCTTGATGCTAATCTAGGGTGGCACAAAGGTACTCAGGCATGACGGAGCTGGGCCATAAGTGCCTAGCTTGATGGGCAGATAGAACAAATGAACACAAGTCATTCACCATGTCCATTTGCTCATCTGAGCTGGCAGTCTGCCCCGGACCCAGGCTCTGAGGCTGCTTAGATCGTCTCCAGCAGATACTCCGAGTCAATACCGTCAAGAGCGGGGATAGAAAGGTGCTAGGAGAAGCAGTTGGCAGTGCACAACATGTATTATTCATGTTACAAAACACAGGAACTAGCCTACCTGTTTTGAGCGTCATCTGCTGGTACATCATCAACTACTCCTATAAACAGAGGGAAACGGCACTTTAGCCAGCAGCAGCCCAGACCGCAAACTTACCCAAGAGCAAACTGTTAAGGGTCGCAGGTGCCTCGCAGGTCTAAAAGACGGTGGTTGTATTCACTCTTTCTAGGCAGTATCACAGTCCCTGGGCCCATCTGCAATGCTGCAGTGCAGACATGCTCAGGAGTTCAGCTTTGGGCCCCGTGCTTTGAAGGATGCCCTCATCTCGACCAACCCTGCCCTGCAGGAGCTCTACACCAAAGCTTTCTCCAGTGCAGAGAAGCTGTTCCTCTCTGAAGCCTACAACCCCCAGAGGACGATCTTCTGCACCCTGCTTATCCGGACAGCCTTCGACTGGATCCTCAGCCGCCCAGATGCCCCCGAGGACTTTGAAACCTTCTATCACTCTATGCTGAGGAGGAAGCAGAGTTTCTATCGAAAGCACATCTACCTGCAGCCTATCGGTAAGGCAGGTGCCTGCACAAGGAGGGGAGAGGGGGAACATCTTTAAAGAGATGTGGGGGTGATTTATAAATACCAACAACCTCCTTTTCAGCCTCTTATGAGCACAAGGCTGGGAGGGGCTCCCCAGGCCATCATGTGCAGCAACTACTTACTCAAAGGCACCTAAAACCCATCTGCTCCAAACTTGCAACTTACTACAAATCCTAAAAATCAGAAATGCCAAGAAGAGCCCACAACACGCTTCAGGTAGTAGTGGAGGTGAAGGCATGGCCAGCACCCTGCTACTGCCACGGCAGCGAAGTGACAGGTTACTTAACTCTTCCATCCAAGAGCAAAGTCTGCAAATGGCCAATGCCACAGCAAGGCCCTTGTGTTCCCGTGATCAAATACTGGGATGCCAGGGCTGGCTTCCAGCTTTGATTCAAAGCCATGGGTCACTGACAACAACTGGAGGGAAGGGACACACTGGAGGCAGCACATAACCCGAGGGGTCCTGTCCCATGTGTCCTCTGATATACTTACATTCAAATGCTCACAGGACCCACAGCTGTAGGGCTAAGCTTTGAGAGGCCTGCCACAAAGAACCTGCACCTAAGATTACTAAGCAAGCACCCTCTCCTAGAGACCCATCTCTCGCCACCCCCAGGCAAACCTTGATAAGCAGCGAAAAATACAGCTCCACCCCTACCTCATTCCCATTAGCCCTAAAGAAGTCCCTTCAGATGTTTCAGCTTCTCTCTAGCTATAAGGTTTGACACTAGTGCTTTTGTTCTTAGATCTCACTGAAGGGTCTTCTGGGATCTCACTGCTGGATTCCCTTAGGAGCTGTGTTGAGTCTTTCTTCCTGGGCCTTCGGGTAAAGTGCCTTCCCTCCATTCCCATCTCGTCCATTCGCTGCTGCTTCCGACAAAACCAGGACTCAGACAGGGTGCAGCTTCACACAGGTAAGAGCGTGGAGTGATCTGCCGGGCACACCAGCTCCTGACGGCCTCTCGGCCCACACCCACTCCCTTGGGAAACATCAGAGTATTCATCTCCCTGCCCAAACAGGAGGAGGAAGGGAGTGAATAGGGAAAAATCCCGTTCCAGTGGAAAATCCAGAACTTTGGGGCTGGAAAGAACAATAGAAAAAATAGACAAGGCAGCAGTTCACATTATATTTTCCCCCTGTTTTTATTTGTCAGAGATATTTTATTTAAGTTTTGCAAGATAAAAGCTGCTCTGTCCTCCCTAAGGGAACAGAATACCTTTTGGCCCATGTTTCCCCATCTGTTACTGAAAGCCAAACTAAACAGATGGCCTGGGCAGTGCAAATGGGGTGGGTATTTGTTAGCCTCACATTAGGAAGCGGGGGTTCAAATGTCACTTTGGTCCCAAGCGAAATGGGCTTGTTGGTTGCCAGACTAGCAAAGCCACCATGCTGCCTAGTACTGCAGGCAGTTCTGGAGTCAGGCTGCTATCACAGGTCAGGGCTGAAATACTCACAAGGAAGTTCTCACAGCAGCAAGAACTAGCGCATCCTTTCTTTCATCTGCCTTGGCATTGAATTCACTCACTGGCCCAACAAGAATCCACTTCTTTGTCCCCAGAGCTCTCCTTTGGTTTCATTCTGTGTCGTAGCGTCATCTCCAGGAAAGCAAAGTCTGAAAAGTTCCCAGGGTAGAGGAGACAGACAACTGGGCAAGGAACTCAGCTAGCTTGGATTTTCATCCTTCCAAACCACAGTGGAAACTGGGACTCTTGCCTCGTCTTCCAGGCTGATTTGATATTTACCCTCCCTCTTCTGTTTATCCAGATGGGATCCTGAACTTCCTAAAGAACAACAAGCCCATGGATGCTCTCTGTGTCCTTGGACTCACACTCGTGGACCTGTACCCCTGTGAGACCTGGAGTTTCACTTTCAGCAAATTTCTGCCAGAACAAGGTGGGATTCACATTGTATACTCTTCCCACGTTGGGCACAAACAAGAAGGGTTCATATAGTATAGTGGGACATATCCACTGGGAGACTAGAATAGCCAGGTCCTTCCCGGGATTGCTGTTCATCTCCATGTTGATAGGAAATAGGACTTCTCTGTTTAAAACATGGAAACTCAGGACTCCATGCTGCCAGCAGCCTGCTGATGTGTACAGGGGAGGCTGACATGGTACAAGCCTTTTGGGATGTATGCTCCACCCCATCCAGTGCAGTGAGGTATACAGTCACTGGATTGTACTTAAGCAGCTTTCCCATTATGATGTCTATAGGTTAGAGGCAGCTGACAGTAGGCTAAGAGAACATCTCTTACTTATTTGCCTGTCTTCACAGAAGTGGGAGTCTGCAGCTTTGCCAGATTTTCTGGCGATTTTCCTCAGGCAGGCTGTAGCGCCTTAAATCCAGCCCTGCGGAGGGGAAAGTTGTGCGAGGTCACAGAGAAGACTGGAGACCGGACATTGCTGTTCAGCATGCTGGAGATGGTCCAGTGTTGCAAGGTGCGGTAAGCAGCCTACCCGGACCCAAATGTCCTGCAGCAGGGGGGTTATGTTCCAGCAACCTACAGATCCTGCCTTCAAGTCTCAAGAAGCAGAAGTGAGACTGACCTAACCACTGCCAGTGAAAATGGAACAAAGTATTCGCGTTAACACATCATGCTCAGCACTTTGCACCTTCCAATCCTGTTCAGCTATTCATTAATTCACCACAAGACCCCTGAGCAGAGTGAAGGGGTTTCATTTCTGTTTCACACACAGGACAGAGAGCAGCACCGGGAGGGTGTGAGACCTACCTTTATCATCAGCTCTGGGTTTCTGCTCCCACTACCAGTCTCATGCTCAGGGCACCGTCTGGAGCGCTGCCTGTCAGGAACTGGGTGGGCAGATGGGCGATCCCCTCTCTGTGCCCAACGCTGTCACTAGAGAGATCCCACCAGTCTAGAAAGCACTTGTCTCTAATCCATGACAGATGTAACTAGGTTCACAGGTGCATGCAATTTTAATCCCAGCCCTACAGCATAGAGGAAGGGATTTGCCAGACCCACCTCCATGGACCCACCAAAAAAGTTTGCACATTTTCAGAACTCCTTGTAACCCAATCCTTCCGCCTGTACACACATCCTCTTGCTATTTCTCCCCAAACTCCCTTCTATAGGGCTTCTTACAGGGCTTGGCTCCTTCGCTGAGCAGCTGTTGCAGCTTCATACTTCTCTGCATTCCCTGCTGACTGCTCAGTCTTTCCTGCCCTGCAGTGCTTTGCCAGTCCCCGCTGGATCTCTGATTGGGAGAGGAAGGCAGCTATACTGGGTGGCTGGAGCATTTGCAGGTGGCTATCTAGTGTTTCTGACCTATGACTGTGCCACCAAGAGCGCTCTCCCCCCCACAACCCAAGTTGCTTACAAAAACAATATCCAAATCCCCACTCTGTAGAGCAGAGAGTCTGCATGTTGGGATAGATTGGAAATCTGGGAACTAGGCTCACTCAGGGCCACTAGCAGAGCAGCCTGGAGGGAGCCTGTAGTTGAGCTGACACGGAGCTTGGATTCCTCTTTTCCCCCAGATGTGGAAAGGCAGAGAGAAGGGAGGTTGTGGTGGGGGCTGGAGCCTGGAGTGACCCTTTTCTTCTACGATTTTTGCTTTCTTGGAAGGTCATGTGCCATGAGATCTGCCACCTGATTGGCCTGGGGAACTGCAGGTGGCTGCAGTGCGTCATGCAAGGCGCGCTGAGTTTGGACGAAGCACTTCTACGGCCCCTGGAGCCTTGTCCCATCTGCCTTAGGAAACTGCAGTATGTCGTGGGCTTCAAGCTCGTCGAGCGCTACCGGGTGAGAGACAGACTGCTACAGCTGCATTTTGGGCACTGGGGTGAAGAAGGGAGTCCAGTAGCTTGGTAGTCTATCCCTGAAGCAGCATCCTGTGAACATGTTATAGAAAGGACAGGCCTAAAAATACACACAGCTCAGCCCCAGGTGTCAGTGCAAGTTACCATGGGAGAGGGGGCATAACATGACAAACTGTGACTAATACTTTGCGCTTTGTAGACAGCCTCCAGAGCTGTGCACCGACACTAAGATGGTAACTGCTATCCCTATTTCACTAATGAGGAGGAGGAGGAGGCAGAGCCAAAGTCAAAGATGTAGTCAGAATGTGAAAGCTCCTGGATCCAGTCCTCTGCTACGGGACTACATGATTTTGTCTCTCAAAGCAACCCCTCCTACCACAACTACCTTTAGACATCACTCATAGGTCATTCCAGTATTAATGACTGCTAATGCCATCTGCCACTAGTGGCTAAACAGCTAGACTCAGTAGCGCTGAGAAGAACACACTGCAGTTCTTGCAAACCACCCATCTTGGTTTTGATTCTATTCTCTCCAAAGGACATGCATCATGCTCAGAGACCGAGTTTTCCAGAACTGCCCATTTTCAATTCCATGCATTGTGTTTTCACCATGTCTGTAATTAGCTGTGCAATTTCAGGGGGATTTCTAGGTTCTTTTCCTTAGTTCTTGTTTGTTCAGTTTGGAAGGAAGACCTATTTCATACAGAAAACAGTTGTCATTGCAAGTGGAGACAGAACACACTATACCTGGTTGTGTTGCTCATCACTGTGAGGAACAGCCCACCAGCCTTATCTTCTAGATCAACTGTCTGGGTCTAAACCTGAGAGATCCTCACACCCAGCAGCACTAGGCTCCAATTACTACAAGTCAAGGGGACAAGAGCTGCAATGCAGCTACTCCTTTTCAAGAATCGCTCAATTAATATTTCTATAAATGGCTTTCTTCAACACCTGTTTCACTGCAGTGAATATTGCGATTAGTTCAGCCTCCCCAATGCCACAGCAAAAGCAGCATCGAAGAAAAGAGACAACCCTCACCACCATGCATCATGATTGCCTCTGAGCCCATAAGAAAATAACTAGACTGGGTACAGGCTATGTATTATAGTTGTACTCGTCTCTCTAAGAGGCTTAGGTACTGCCTTGATGCAGGCTGAATAAACATCTAGAACGCCTAGAAAGACGGATGAAATAGGAGAGGGCAAAGAGTGCTTGGAAGCAAAATCTCATCAGAAAGCCAAGCTGCTGGCAAAACTCATTTTGAGAGGCCACAGCAAATCAGCGCCAGGCATCTGGAGTCAGCCTTACTTTTTGCTATTGGTTTTTCCAGTTGGAGAATAACCAACCTGCCTAAATCACATAATGGCTCAGGTCCTGAGTAATAGATCCGGGGAATGCCAGGCACAAAGCTGCTCTCCCGCCTGGAGCAGACAATGCTGCCAAGGTTAATGACTGCAGCGCAGGTTACGGGCAGGGCACCCAGAGGAGGAAGATAATCTTTCTGTAAGAGGATGAACGCTGCAATTAATCTGAGCTGCCCTCATAACTCTGAGTTATTTAGACATCAGGCAATTAAGAGCCTCTTGTTCCAGGGTTTAGTTTATCTTGCAACTTAAAGCAAAAAAATCCACAGGCACATAATGCAATCTGTTCCACTTACAGCATTGGCATATCCTGCATCTCTGACCTTGATTTTGTTTGTAGTATTTTTCTTCAAGGCTGCAGTGAGGAGAGCAACTGGAAAGGGACCCGGGCTTGTCTTCTCAACAGCATTAGTTCCATTTAGTTTCTCAGTTTAGCCTAGCTTGATCCCTTACCCTGGAGATTTATTCTCCCTGCCCTTTGCAAATTGCTCTGTTCTACGTGACTGCATAGAGGAAATCCTCACTTATAACCATGTCAAACTGACCCAGGGATTTAACAGATGTGGGCAAGGGCAGGATCATCCTCTGCTACAACCCACTGGCCCCTAGTGTCAAATAGCAGGCTTTATGCCATGCTCAACAGTATATTTTGAGCAGGCGAGGTCCCTGCTGCTTCTCCACAACCATTCATTTTGCAGTAACAAGTGTGTGCACAGGCTCCCCTGTCTGGTTAAGCACAAAACACACAGCCAGATCTACCACCACAAGTAAAAGAAACCCTGCAGACAGAGAGACTGGAAAGGATTCTGCCCTATAACTGTGATCTTGGGGAGAGCTATCCCTCCACTAGACCTGGAAAAAAACAGCCTTGTGTGTCTGGATGTCCTGGCCTCAGCTCACTTTTGCTTGGACTCGTGCTTCCCTCCAGTATTGTGGCTTGGGCTGGGCAGCAATTTTGGTTTCTTTGGAGTTTCATTAACGTGCTGGATTTTAAAGAGCCATTATAAAATCCCTAGCAGCTCTCAGGCAGCCTCACTGTCATCACTCCCTGCTCTGGCCCCTGCCACATTAGCTGATACGTGCGCCTGTGTATGGAGGAGGATAGGGCTGGCTTTAATCATACAAGGCACCACATCAAGGCAGGGAGGGAAGTCTTTCCTTCTGGCCAAGAAAAATAGCAAGGGATCTCAGCTGTTCAGATACAGCTGAGCTCAAAGGGACCATTTTTTCCCTGTACAGAACTCTTCTCCAAGGCTTTGCTTTCAGACTGAAACGGGAAACATGGCAGCCTTCTCCCAAACACTCAGCTCAGTCTCTTTATATCACTGGCCTGCAGTAAGGAGACAACAGGGGGAGGGAAGAGCAGGAGGAAAGGAAAACTTTGGGGGAAAAGCAGCTCTGCAAATTGCCTGCAGGGCTCGGAGGCTTAGCCAGAGCGCGGCACTGGTGCCCTCTGCTGGAACAAGCCCGGCACAAATCCTGCCAGGGGAGCACAATGCAGTCCCACCCCAAGCCCGCGTTAGGGGCTGCGCTGTGTGCTTGTATATCCCGGCTGTCTCCACTGGGTGTCCTTGACCAATTGTACAACTTTGCAAAGACACCAGCTGTGGAGTAACAGGAAATGTAGATATAAAAGGCACTGGTATGTAAGAAGGTGGGCACGGGGGTGTGGAAAGCTGAGCAAAAGAGCACCCCGCACATAGCAATGCACCACATAAGGAGACTATTATCAAGTGGTGACTGTCAGTTGCTACTCTTCGTTCCCAGCCGCCTAAGGAATCAGTGTGCCAGGAGCAATTCGTTGTTTGCAGCATTTAAATATTTAAACAGGGAATCATCTCAGGCATTTCACTTTCCATGGCTTCTTTCCTGGAGCCCAGCTTTTCCTCATGCATATTCCAGCGCGAGAGATGAGGAACAAAACTGCATGTTAAAACAGGATTTAATAGGCTGCTGAAATGAGATTCTTCACACTTTTTCTCAGGAGCATTTAATATTCATATTGCTTCCTCTGGAGGGGCACGGGTTGGTTTGGTGCTTTTACCCTGATTAAAGGCCTGCAGAGGTGTGCAGACGAGCACACGGCTAGGCCTCTGCTGGCTGCTGCTCAGAAGTGGTCCAGCCCTGGCCGCCTCTTTTAACCATCAGGGCAGGGACTTGGGCAGGGGCCTTACGGGCTGTCAAGGTGCAGATACATCTTTCACACCCAGTCCCTCCCAAATAGGAGTTCAGTTTGCAGCTCTGCTCTTCTCTCTCCCCGCTGCACCACCAGGACTGTTAAGGGTGCTTCTAGCTGTAGGCACCCACCTTGTACCATCTGAAAAGGGAGTCTCTTTTCAGAGATGAAGTGTTCAGTACTTCCTGAAAGCCCGAGCCCTTTGGGTCTCAATCCTGAATGGGCCCTTTGAATATCCCATCCCCCTGGTGTTTGCCGTTGTGCCAAGTTCTTTCTCATTCTCCAAAATGAAACCTTTCTCCTGTCTCCACAGAAACTGTATGCTTGGACACAAACTGTACTGTCAGCCTGGGCCACTCAGGAGCCAACAGACCTGTCAGCCGCTGAGGACCTCCTACCATTCAGCTCGGACTCAGGGATGTGCTGCGAGAATGACTCCGAAGCGGTCACTTCCCTGTCCGAGCCCCTAACCCCGGACACATGCAGCCAGGCCCTCTCCATTGGGCAGGAGCTGGAGCACGATGAGCAGTCGTGTTCTCTGGCCGACACGCACAGCGAGCAGGAGCTGGACGGCACCACCAAGACCACAGACATCATCAAGGAATACGAGCTGTGGCTGGAAATGTGCATTGCTGCCTTGGAGAGGAATGTTTCTGAGGAGGAACTGGCCCAGGTGGACCAAGCTGTGGATGCCCTTGCCAGGTGGGAAATGTTTACAGGGCAACTTCCCACCATGAAGAAGGACTTGCCCTTCACCAGGGACAGCGTAGGGTTAAGGAAAGTCCTTGGAGACAAGTTCTCGTCCTTGCGGAGGAAGTTGAGCTCCAGAAGACTGCCGAAGGGGGAATCCTCTCCTCATCGCTGGAGATGGGAGGAAAATTAGCTGGGGCCTGACTTTTATGTGCCCATCTCTGTCCTTCTGGCAGGGAAAGAGGCAGCCTGACTCCTCAGTTGCCTTTGATTTAAGTTTTGTTCTGTTATTACCCCGCATCAGATCTTTCCCACCAGAAGTTACATCTCACCAGAATGAAGTGTTTCTTTTTCCCCCCAACGTGGAGTTCAGTCAGTCTATCTCCATCTCTAAGAGCTTGTCTGTATGAGAGAGTAGCACTGGCTTAATGTAAAGTGTCAATCCAAACCTATGACAGGTCCCATGTGGACGCTCCTACTTCAGTCTGGCTTAAGGTGGCTTGGAACAGGTTTAAGTTAAAACCAGCTTAAAATACATTTGTGTAAAGGTTTACAGCAGTTGAGGGGAAAAAAAGGAGCAAGTTAAGCCAATGCAAAACTCCAATGTAAGGAAAGCACCAATCTACTTACTAAAAGCTTAAGCCATACAAACATGGCCATGATTTTTCATCTCATGTAATGCCAAGTGTCCATTTCCAGCCAGATCTCTGATCCAGAGGTTGTAGGAGCAGAGCTGAGGCTTTCTAACCACAGATCCATAGAGTCCAGGTAGACAGCAGCAAGCAAGGTCTGGGAAGTCAGATGGTAATGGGCACTGGGTACAGCAATAAGTAAAAACCACCACTGATTATCCATCACAAACAATGGCTTTATGTTGGCTGCCACACAGGGGATCTCTAGGAGCCAGTACAGCCAAGATTGTAGCCATGAGCTGTAACAACTCTTATCCTCTGAGCATTGGCACAGAGAGGAATTCCTAACACAGTCACTGGTTACATTTGCTTGCAGGGACTTTGCTTCCAGCAGCTGACACATCAGCTTCTTCCCCTCTGGCCAAGGTCTCCAAGTCCGGTCTGAGTGCATTTACTGATAGGAAAACACTGCAGAACCTGCCTTTCAGTTGATAGCAACTCTCCAGCTATTTATAGCTGGCTGCTCATGAGGCTGACAGTTTTTCAAGCCTCGTAATAGCAGGGGCTGGCCCTCTCCATCATGGTTTCCTTCTGAATTCTGGCACTGATAATGCAGTCATCAACTTACTCTTGGTGGCCAGACTTAGTAATTTTAGATCCAAAACATCTATTTAGTTTCCCGCTGCCCAAGACAAGCAAGCAGGTCAAACTGAGTCGCGAGACTCCCCCCCCTTCCCCCAGCTGAAATGTTGGGCTTTAATAAGGGCACCAAAATACAGGCCCCAGCATTCTCCATGCAGCTGAAAATGGCAAAAACCAAGGATTGCACTTTGTGGAAGAGGGCAGTGAGACAGCTTGCTCATGCAGGTGACTGGAGAAGCCGGGGTGGCTTTTCCAAGAGAAGCTTGATCAAGGGCAGATGTCTAACGAACAAATTAAAGCCAGCACGGTTCATAGAAAGAGGAAAAGGGGGCCGACTTCTACAAGACTAATGATGTCAATGACTGGAAACGTTCCCGCCCTCTCCCCTCCCACAGCCCCTACATCTGGAATCCATGTTAGGGGAAAGCAGCTGCTGCCGCCCCCTGCCGGCTCTGTAAACCCAAATCGCTGGTTCACAATTGCTTTTCATCTCTCAGCTTTTTCAGACCTACTGAAGCTTTTGAACAAATCCTACATGGACGATAAACCCAGTTGCTGTCCACATCCTGTTCTCACCCTTTTAAAAACACTGTTACTATTTTAAACAGGAGCCGACTCATTTTCCAGCCTGTTCATTCTTGCTTGCTCCTACAGTGAAGTCATAGGGCTAAATGTAAGGCAGTTCCCAGAAAGATCATGAACTCGAGATGATGGCATTGCTGTAGAACCAAAAAGGAAGAGGGAGGTGGCAGCCCTCAGCTGTGATTAAATTGCAGAGGGAACACAGGAGAGGGGTGGCTAGCTAAAGCAGAGATGTGCTTTTAAACATCTGATTGACATGGAAGTCTCCCTTGTAGGAAATGACAGAGGAAATGCAGGGCTATTCCCACTCACTACTTTGAAGCCAAACATTAAAGGGGGGGGGGGGGGGGGGGGGGGGGGGGGGGGAAAATGTGGCTGTAGCCGATTTAGCTTATATATAGCTTTTTGTTAGACAGTTATACCATAAAAGCAGACACTTCCTTTGAATAGCTCAGCTCCCCAACTCCTGACATGCTTGCAACATTATAACCGATAGTCACCCACTTACCAGTTCAGAGTCTAGGGCCAGTCCAGAAAAGGACAGAGGCTGCACTGGAACCTGGAGCTTCACACACCTGGGTAGGATCCAGGATGCAACAGCACTTCAGGGACAGAAATATAAAAGGATGACCACTCTTCTAAGCTCTCAGACAGTTGTGAGATAGTCTGTACAATCCTGGTGTGCAGGTTTCTTGTGCATCAGGCTACACTTAGCACCTGCAGAGAGGTTTCCAACAAAGTCCTCTTTAATCAGGCCACGCAGTCTTTCATCCCCAGTCAGATAAGTGGCCAGTTAATATTAGATACTACATGAATTGTGAAGCAGCTTAACCAAATACTGCACAGCCCAGGTCTGGCTCATGGAATCAGGATGTACAGGTGACCAGAGCCAGCAGCCACCAAGTCCTGCTCAAGGTAGGTGATGGGCATGAAAGAGGCAGAATAAATGACATCCGGTTTAGCACATTGTCAGTATATTGTTGTCCATGTTAACAATTGGAAAACATTCACATAGGAGAAAAGTGCCTGGCCAAAGGTTTTGTAGATAGTGTCAGACACAGAATCAGGGCAGATACCATTCCCACCTCTCCGCATGTATCCAAGCTCTGGAGGGGAGGAGTGCCGCTGCTGGGAGAGCAAACCTGACAGTTCTCTGAGGGAAATAAGCAATTATCAACATCAGATGAAGGTGTCCCTGTAAAGAGTTAGTCTTTCCTTTTAAACAGCACCCACTGCGGTTAAGATTTGATTAACCTTGCTGCGAGACACTGCAGTAGAGTTCACCAATAAAAACACCGGCTACAGTTATTAGCTGCAAATAGGCAGGGCACAAGAAGTGGCCTTCAGGTTTGTTTTTAGAAGGTTAATTTGAAGGACCCATAAATCAGTGCAAAGTAGCTTAATACCACGGGCTGTCAGCCAAGAGCAGTCACAAGCCCTGGTGAAGCCATGGACTGCTACATGAGGTAACGCACACAGCTACATCGTCCGCACATACTGCGCTGCAGCACCTAGGCTTCCTGTACTAGACAGTACTTCACCCCGACTTGGGGAGCCTTTGGTGCAGGATGTACACTGCAGAGCTGCACCAGCAGAATCAGTGTTAACTAATGACTGAAAACGCTCCAGGTCATTCAGCTCCTCGGCATCTCCCTCAAGGAAAGCAGTCAGTAAACTGGGGTGGCCTGCAATCCCCAGGAGATGAGCTGTGGTGGCGGGGGACGGGGTGGGGGGGATGGGACAGTGGTACAGGGTTCAGACAGCTATGTGAAGCACTGGCAGGAGGGCAACAGTGTCCTCAGCTGCATCAAAGCAGAACTTTGTTTCTTTGGGTGTCAGCAGCTCCCTTGCCTACTGTCTAGCTCCTAATCACTGCACAGGAGACCTATGCAGCCAAGAAGGAAACAACAAACGTTTAAAAGGATATAAGTAACAAGGTAGAATTTTACCCCTTGCAATAGCACAGCTCCACTTGTCAACTGTGTGTGAACTGTGGGGCACTCAAACTTGGGGGCAAGACCCGATGTTTGGAGCCGGTCATGCCCAGTCAGGAGCAAGGCCGCATGCACTATGAAGCATGCTTGTGGCATAGCCTGCAGGCCACTGCTCCAGGTCTGCCCCAAGAAGGGGCCCTCTTGCCTCTCCCCAAGGATCAGGAGGCATCCAGATACAGACAGTCTGAATGGGGCTGTGAATTCCAGCTCCCAACAGGACGTCTGGCTGGCAACCCCTCTGCCACCCTTGAAAGCCAGTGCGCCCATCTTCTCCGCAGGCAGAGAGTGAAGGGGATGTCTTGCCTTCCTGACTAAGGAGAGACCGACAATAAACGGCGATTCGATTACCAACCCATTTCTTTCATGGGAGCAATGCTAGGGAAACTCCCAACAGCAAACGCAGGCAAGGAAAACAGGTAGGATAGCGGGTGCTTTTAGTGCACCCAGAAGCTGAATGGAGAGAAGAATACCACACCACTGTTCTGGATTTGCACAGTCATTAGTCCACTTGCATCACATCCAAGGGGCCTTACTCAACTTTGCACAGGTGGGACACAAAATCCAGCCTCCTCAAGAGTGCTGTACAACTAAATCAGCTTGGGTGAGCTGGTGCACAGGGACCGTCTTCAGAGCCTTCAACTCCCAGTCTGCAAAAGCAGTAATGAGCAGTCATCTCTGTCCAGTTAGACTAATTGGAAGCAAGACCAAGCTTAGGCCTCTCTCCCTCCAATGACTGAGGGAGGAATCAGGATTGCATAGACAATTTTACCAGCTGTAGAACAGGCAGCTTCATGCTTTATAGTCCTATGTGTAGGGGCCAATTTCAGCAACTAGTGCAAGAAAGGCAGAGATGTAGAGAGGGATGTGTCCTGTCCTACTGAACAAACAGTAGCTTGAGGGAAGCATTAAAAACAGTATGAAAGCGTATTTATGACAGTTATCCCATTGACTGGGCTTGAAACTTTGCCAGGGAAAGGCAGCAAAGTGTCTTTATTTTTCGGAAGAGGTGGGGGTGGAAATCAATTGACTGCCCTTTGCTCAAGTTCCCCACTATCCTATAAATTGCTCCAAATAATAAAGATTTCAGCATTCTCACGAGGAAGCACTTTTCCTTCACATTCCAGTAGGAAACCCATCCTGCTTGCTTAACGTATCACCTAATGGGAGTGGGAAGTCCCAAGCATATTTTTGGTCCTAGTTGCTCATCTGCCTTGCTGCGTTTGATCAACAGAGCAGCATTTCCACATGCTTATCTGCACACTAGTTCGGACACAGATGAAAAGTCAAAGTTGGGTTGCACCACTCGGGTGTCTGCATCTTCTTTCTGGCTCAGAACTGAACTGACTTTTGAGGTGTCTGGCATCCACAGTGCCCAGAGAAGGTGCAGGTGCTTAGAACTTCTTTAAAAGTAAATCAAGCAAATTAACATCTGTGCAGAGAGATTTTAGATAACAAATCGGAGGCAACCAACCTCTCAATTGCTTGCCAAAATGGCCGAGATCTCTTGGTGAAGTGGTTAAAACTGTGTGCGATTTCCCAGGTCAAAGTAATCAACAATGTAGTGTTAATTCAAAGGACTTGCAACAGACATGTCACCTCTCAAAGCACAGGAGATGAAAAGTAAAGGTACAACAGTTAAGTACAATGCTAATAGAATCAGCTGGTGCTAAGATTGCAATACTGCAGGAAGGGACCAGTTAGATCATGGGGGGGTGGGGGTCAACACTTCTACACTGGTGATAAAAAGCAAGCGAGGCTGACGGGAGAAACACCACCCAGATGAGGGCATAGATGAAGGTGAGACTGCTCTTACTGGAAGCTAAATCAGCAGGGGAAAAAATTACTTTTAGCAGGTGCCGTCAGCCAAACTAGCTCAAAAAATCTTTCTTGCTTGAGTTATAAAAATTCATGAGCACAACTGCTTCTAGCTGTATCCCCATTAGCTTTAATACCTATACCAGCTACTAGAATTTGCCAGAATTGGAGTGAGCTTGAACTGAGCTCTAAATAGGAGAGCAGTTCACCAAAAGTCCCTCCTTGCGCCGTGCTCAAAGGCTCATTCCTGGACAGAGTAGAACTGAGGACAAGGCAGGGAACCCAGAAAGGTTACAGAACGTGCACTCCTTCGCCCAACGTCTTGTTGCAGGACAACCCGGCCTCATGTGGCTTGTATATTATTCACTCAAAGCTCAGATTTTCTTCTCTCGGGCAGAAAGTTCTTTCCCAAAATAAAATTATCCCATTTACGACACGGTTGAAGGATACGGCAGGCCATAATGAACAGTATAACAAGTCAAGTTTTAATAGATTTATAAAATTCATATATACAAAACAGTAAACTAATTCACCAAAGCTATAAAATACACTTTGTACACATCACAATATAAATTTTATCTAGTACACAGTTTTCATAAAATTGAGACTATCACAGCAAATAGGCTGCTTCTATTATGGATGTTGTTTTGGTGCTTTATAAAGACACTTCAATGGGCAGTCTGACACTGTGCTTTTACATTATGCAATTTTCACCTTAACTCATTTTAGTTTGTCACTGTCTTTCAAGTACGTACAAGCTGTTAGAAATTAAGGCTAAGGCCTTTCCTGCCCATGGCAGCGAGCAGTGAGCTAGTTTAGAGTTGCATGGCATTGCATAGGATGTGTGCTACAATGCATAGGCACCGCAGAGTTAAGTTAACTGCAGAGTAGAAGATAATACTTTGCATTGATTTCCTGGCTACATGATTGTGTCACAAGATTAACTAGTGTTTTGTCAGTTCATTTTCACATGTATCAAACCATATTAAAAAAAAAGTCAGCTTTGTCAAACAAATGATAGAATTGGCTGTTTGTGTTAAGTGTAGTCTTTGGAGATACTGTTTAGCGGATATTTAGTTTAATTAATAAAAAGATGTATTAGCTCTTCTAGTCCATTGGGCAAATTCAAATAATGAAACATGCTCATTTGCAAAAATGCTCTTTATCCCATAGACTGTAAAGGCTACGAGGCAAATGCAAGTTTGAACGCGCTCATGCACACAACTTGCAAAGAATTTACGGCAGTGCCTTGAAGTCCTGTGGTCTGCTGAAAGATCATCCTCGCACTATTGTCTAAAGCCACCTGCCCAGCAGCTTACCATGAAGCATGGTCTGACTGAAGCAATTACTGGGCAGAAATACTAAGAGACAGTCAAGTCACTCTGAGTGAGCAAACTCCCCTCAGGTCTTGGTTACCGGAAGCAGTCACCCTTCTCCCATACCAGGTGTCTCACTCATCTGGCAATCTCTGTTTATGCATCAAAACGTTTCTTCAAGGTTTTAAACTGGTGTAAGACATGCTGCCTATCAAAGGCTTGCAGACCACATATGAAGGGATTAGGTGCCTATAGCACAATGAAGAATAGCTGAAGAGGATCTTTCCAATGGAGAAGCAGGCAGGCAGAGAAGTTCCAACTTGCTGCTGTAACAAGCAGCAAAAAAGCTCCCAGGAGTCAGTCACCCGAGCTCAGAGTCACCGCTGCGGGCTTTTGTTTGTTCAGTACAATCAGCCTTTACACAGCAGCATTCGGGATCTGTTTAGAAACTAGAGTCCCTTTCTCCTCCACCCCCTTCCCTCATGTACTTTGGCATTTTACCAAAAAGCCCATCTTTACATTGGCCAGCAGAGATGAAATATAGATGTAGGCCAAGAAGGAAACTATAGCAATTTACAGAATACACCAAAGCAGCCCTAGCTCTCCTGGCACTGGAGTCATCCAGTACCTCCCCCCCTTCCCATGGAAAGGCAGGCATGTCAACATGCAGACAAACCTAAACACTGTGTTTAGGATACCCTTTAAAAAAAGAGACAGTCAGGCAATTCATAGTCAAGGCCCAGCTGTCTGACTCAGTGGTGTGAGCAAACAGAGGTACCACCTGATTGGTTCACGGGGTACCCTGGCTCCAAATATTTTGGCTTCTCATTCTCGTTTGTGTAAAACAATGTAGTGTCCTTTAAGTAGTGAATGAAGCAAATGTAGTGTTTGTTACAAAAGCGTGATTCATGGCTCCAAAGCGGAGATCTCTCCAGGTAACCACAAAAATAGGCCCAGCCCGGGCAGGGGCCACACAAGTACTGTGGTGCTATGTTGCCCTGTTGGAGGTCATCTCTAGGCTGGGGTGACCTTATGTAGAAGTGAGCAGGCAGTGGATTTGATGCTGTTTCAGCCTAAGACTGGCGCAGACTACCCTAGTTAAAAACATGTCCCAGGTCTGATGTCAGCTAGAAATCTGAAACATTGCTCTATTTTGTAAGTAACTATTCTCCAGGTGATCTGCTAAAACATCCCTACCCACAACTTTTCTTGCGTTACAGGAGAAGGGGCACAAACAAGAGGGGCTTAGAATGGAAGTGCTATAAAGCACCCCTCCTCCACCCCATTCATTTTGTACTTGACACCTCTATGGAGAAGTACGTTACTATTCGTTTGCAGAAATCAATACTGCCTCCATCACAGACGATGGATACTCAAGTAAACAAATGGGGGTGTTCTCCAGCCTCTAGTTTTTATTGCCCCAGGTGGGCATTAAGCAGGTTGCCTGACAGTACTAATGGCCAGCTGGACGTGAACATCTGTTGAAAAAGTGTCAAATCTAATTCAGGCCTCAAGGTTCATTGTTTGAAACTTTGCGAAACATATAAAGGCTACTCTCAAACAGCACTTGGAGTTTCCCCCTCCCCCACATACAACCCCCACCAAATTTAAGAAAAAAAGCCACCCAAGGCCTTGCAAAAAAGGTCAAGTGTCTACACTAGGGGATCTAATCAAAGGCAAAGCATAGGGCATGTCCTATTACTGCAACTGTGAGCTGCCGGCTACAGCCCAATTACACAACTTACATGGTGGTTACTCAGCTTGCTTGCACGGTTCAGTTTCAAGCAAGAACATGAGGATCATCATCGTAAACATTTACATTTCACTGATCAGAGCAACCCAAGAGCTGAAGGACTAACTGCAAACCTAGTCCGGTATTATACAATGAGAGTTCAGTTCCCATTGTCCTGCTCAGTGGTGCAATAAGAAAGGCCATACAAACATTCATTACCTCTACATTTCAAAGTACTGTCCCTGAGCTGTCAGCTTAGGGCACAAATGAAGTGGTCCTGGGCTTTCCAGCTTGTGCCTGCTCAAGGAAAAAGGATTACTACTCTCTCCAGTGGCTCCATCACCAATTTCCAGTTTCTCTGATCACTGGACTTCTTTGCAGACTCCCTCTCTGCATGCACTTGTCCACCAGGACTGCTCAACACCAGGTACTTTATCAATTCCAACTTTCCTTGGCTACAGCAATTGGCTTCAGGATAATAATTCAAAAGCAACTTTTTCCCCCAAGTCGGCAGAATTCAGGACCATGGATGAATTTTGAGGGGCAGCTGCTTGCAACATCAGGACCATGGATGAATTTTGAGGGGCAGCTCCTTGCAGCCCCATTTCCTCCTAGCCAGTGTAAGCAGCCTCACCCCAAAAGCGTAACAATGGCTGCCAGCAAAGATACTGAAAAGCAAGGAATGCAAAGAGAAGTTCCTCTAGACCGAGACTTGCTGAGCAAGACGCAAACTTTTGCCAGCCTTGGATAAGATACATGTATGGGAAACACAAGAGGGCTCTGAAGCACACAGAAACCAGGCCCCATGTAAACAGTGATGTTAAACATCCATTTTCTCTAGCGTTTAGACAGCCAGCATTAAACAAAGGCTAGACTGTAGAGGGAAGGGGAGGGGAGGGGGGAAGGAAAAAGCCTGTGCACAAGACATGAACTAGAAAAATTAAAACCCCATCAAAATGTGACACCTTCTCATTGCTTGCATAACCCCCTACAATCCTTGTGACACCCTTCCCCACCCCTCCCTGGGAAAAAGGAAGTTAGTGCTGCAAATGCATTGATGGGAGGCTGCTTTTCACACCAGCGACTCCATTTCAGCTGCTGTCGGGGCTCCAACACAGTGAAACTGTAGCCTGCATGGCCACATAATCAGCTTCACGAGCTCCTCCCACACTCCCAGAGCTCCTTCCAAACCAGAACCTCTGAACTACAAATGCTCCCCGCTCCAGCTGAACCTCAGCCAGCACTGTTAACCCACTGTTAGCTTTGAAAAAAACTAGCAGAAGGGGCTGGCTTCAGAAGCTCCTTTGGACACGTTTGAGCCTCGCTCAAGATTTGACAGGAGACTTTTAAACGTGTAATTACACAAAGTCAGCACGCTCAGTTCTGCTCCGCTGTATCGTGTGAAACGGGAATCCGATGTTTAACGTTGATGAGAACTAGACACATTCTAAGGAGCTGTAATTTAAAGTCAAGCGGCTGTTATGCTTAACTCCATTAAACCTTCACTGTCAAGACCTCTTGCTCCCTCCACATCTCAGGAGTCTGGTTTAATGGCTTGTTAAAAACAGCACTGGCCTATTAAACGTGTCACTTAAATACAACTGTGAAGTAAGCTTTTAAGTAAACAATCCAACATTTAAAACCCATCCGCCAAGTAAATCATTTGGTAATTCTGGAGTACTAACTGCCCCCCAAAATGTGGTTGGCTCAGGGTACAACTTCCTGGTCAGCTTTTTTGAGAGTGGTAATTACCCATGACTTAAAGGTGTCTTGTGCCAAGCTCACCATTTTGAAGACACAGGATAATAAAGCCCTGTTTAGTACAAGCCTCTAATCTGTCACTGTTTTATTTATTGCTAGTTTACATAAGGGTTGCCTCCTTTAACATGCTGCAAGCATTTCCTCTCTTTGTCCTTGCGGGAGACACCACACATGGAACAACCTTGTCAATGATCTACAAGTGACACACAAGGAATAGTGAAGAGATCTGGATGATTTTTTTTTTTTTAAGTATACATTCAAATCTTCCATCTGATTATGGGTTACAGGAAAAACTGTTTCCTGCCTACTTGGATGAACAATAACCCAACAAAAGTTACTAAAAGAGCTTTCTTGCCCAGCTGTGTTTACCTGCAAGTGGTCTCCAGGATGTCAGTGGAAAATAAAGCTACTACTGGTTTCTTATAAGAGAACTGAGCAGGAGATCAAGTTTGGCTGCTTGAATTCAGCATTAGTAAATTAATTACAGACTTCTGGCTTTGCTGAACTGTAGCTCTGGATAATCCAGTACTGAAAAAAGCAGGGTGTGTATTTAAATAGTTCTTAGCCAGGTAAATATAATTTGCCAATTAAACAACATTTATTCATCCAGACTCCAGCAAGAGAAGAACCTGCTGGGGTGACTGCTGTGGTCTTCCACTGAAATTCTTCAATCAAGTCCCATTGTATCTGGACAAAACATTCTGGGACAAAGTTTGTCTAAGTTGCAGATCTACCCAATACAGGCTGCTTCTGTAGGCTGCTTTCATAAGATATTTGAACTGTGCATCAAATGTATTAGGTTCAAAGCAAAAACAGCCATGTGCTGAACTCCCTGCAGCAGTCAGTGAAATATCATAACATCTAGGCTTACCCTATTCCAGTCTCTCTCTTTTTAAAACCATAACCACAAAAAAAGCAGCTAGACCAAGTTTTCCATATGTGTACCCAAAGTCATGGTGATGGCTTTTGATAAAGTTAATGAATTTGTACAGCTCTTGCTATGCAGCACCTTCACAGTCAGGTCCAATATCAAGCTTGTCAACCAACTGCAGGGAGTGTCAATGATCATCAAGGATACTGGTTTTCTTTATTAAAAAAAATACCAAAATGCTGATAAAAACTCCAAATCCACATTTTTCCATGATTAAAATGAAATGCCACTATACATATAGGTATCAGATGAACTTGTTTTATTGATATATTTACAATTTTAAAGAAATTTGGAAGCCTGCCAGTGCCTCAATCATTATAATAAAATAAAGTGTAAATACCTATATATTTTGGCCTTTGATTTTGTTTTATTTTTATCATGGAAACCCCCCCCCCAAAAAAACCCAGAGCTCCCTTTACCACCTTCACTCACCAGGATGTGGGTCCAG